ATGAAGATATCGACGCCGGTGCTTCCACTCCATCTCGGCGGAAAAATGGTGCTCCTCTTGCTCCCCCAAGGAGCTACTGGGATAGCAACGGTCCATTCGGAGGCGGGGACGTCGTGCCCTTCTTCAACAGAGGTCTAGTCCCCCCTGTCGACTCCGACAGTAGTGACGACGAAGCCACCCGTCGTCGTGGCCGTGGTGGTGTTCCTGGCTTTGGCGGAGGTGTCGGTATGACTCCTGGAGGTCCTGCCCCCGGCCTCCTGGCCCCCATTGGCCAGACCCATGGCAATGATCCGATGCAAGCCGGGGCACCCGCGAACATGGGAAAAATTACAAAGACTGGAAAGACTGCACTTGCTGATGCAGACCCTCTTGGCGTCAGCCCCGATGTTACCTTCTCAGAGGTTGGAGGTCTTGATGATAAAATCCAACAGCTAAAGGAGATGGTGATGTTGCCACTGATGTACCCTGAGATCTTCAGGGCCAAGAAAATTACACCCCCGAGAGGAGTGCTGTTTCATGGTCCTCCAGGTACCGGTAAAACTCTACTTGCCCGTGCTGTTGCTTCGAGTTTTACGGATGCAAACGGAAAGCAGGTTACCTTCTACATGCGGAAGGGAGCAGACTGTCTCAGCAAGTGGGTTGGAGAAGCCGAGCGTCAACTGAGGTTGTTGTTTGATGAAGCAAGGGCTAATCAACCCTCAATTATCTTCTTTGACGAGATTGATGGTCTCGCACCTGTTCGTTCTAGCAAGCAAGACCAGACTCATGCTTCCATTGTATCGACTTTGTTGGCATTGATGGATGGTATGGATGGACGAGGACAGGTTGTCGTAATCGGAGCTACAAACAGACCCGATTCGGTGGATCCCGCCTTGAGAAGACCCGGACGTTTTGATAGAGAGTTTTACTTCCCGTTACCTTCTATAGAGGCTAGAAGATCTATTATCAATATTCATACAAAGGGCTGGGAGCCGCCATTGTCTGAAGCCTTTAAGGATAAGCTTGCAGTTTTAACCAAAGGATACGGAGGAGCTGATATTCGTGCGCTTTGCACAGAATCTGCATTGAACGCCATGCAGAGAACCTATCCGCAGATTTACGCCACTACCGAAAAGCTCAAGGTCGATCCTACCAGTGTAAAAGTTACAGCAAGGGATTTTATGATTTCATTGAAGAAAATGACACCATCTTCTCAGAGATCTGCTGCCTCCAATGCTGCCGCCCTTCCCGAAAAGGTTAAACCACTACTGGAGAAACAGTTGGAGAGCATCAAAAGCATATTGCAGAGGATTTTCACAGAGTCTAAACCCTTGACTGCGCTTGAAGAGGCACAGTATGAGAATGATTTTTCGGATTCTGAAGCTGGCTTCGAGAGGGAAGAAATGATGGAAGGTGAGTTTTCTCGTCTATTCTTTGGTGAAAATAATTGCTGACTGATGGAAATAGATTTCGCATGTGACAGGGTTTACAGGCCAAGGCTGCTCATTCACGGTCGCTCAGGAATGGGGCAAATGCATCTTGCTCGTGCTGTATTGCACTATATGGAGTCTGTTCACGTGCAGTCATTTGATCTTGGAACGTTGCAAAACGACTCCACCAGAGTATGCCCCCGTACCTATAACTATTCGTAATAGATAGCTAACTATGTACAGAGTGTAGAAGCTAGCATCGTCCAGTTATTTACAGAAGTGAATCGTCACAAACCTAGCGTCATCTTCATTCCTGATGTAGATACCTGGTACCATACGATTGGAGATTATGCTCGGGTAACCTTTCAGGGATATCTCAACTCCCTCCTAGAAACCGACCGTGTCCTCCTCTTTGGAATCACTAGCACACCTCTTGAGGAGCTCGATCCGGCCCTTATCGAAAACCTTTTCGGTTACAAAATGCAAGACCGATTTGAGTTGAAGACCCCCGGAAAGCAGGATAGACACAATTTCTTTGATAGGCTTTTCGAGAAGATCCGGAAATCACCAAGGGACTTTCCTCAGGATGTCAAAAATCGCAAGAAGCGAGTTCTTCCCGAACTTGAGCGTGCTAGTCCTCCACCGGAGTACGTACCTACGAGAGAAGAACTTCGCGAGAGGAAGAAAAAAGATCGTCAGATCCGTACCCATGTTAAATTCCGGCTTCACTCTCTTATGGAGAGTCTCAAACAGAAATATCGCCGCTTCAAGAAGCCGGTGATAGATCACGAAATTATTGCCAGGATATTAGAAGCCCGGGGTGATGACAACGCCACTGTTGTTCCAGATGCTGGCCAGGATCCGGTTGATCACCAACGTTATGAAGCAGATTGGGACGAACTTGGAGTAATGCGTGTTAAGGACTTACGCACGGGCAAATTTTATTACAACATAGATTTAGATATTGTCGAGGAGAGATTCAGTAACGGATACTACATCACTCCCCAACAATTCTTATTCGACTTAGAATGCATAGCACACGACGCCAAAATGTCAGCTGACAAAGAAAACCACCGCAAAGCGCGTGAAATGCTAACCAACGCTGAAGTCTACATCGCCGAGATTGAAGCTGATACAGCGTTCGCAGCTCAATACACAGATCTCTTCAACCGGGAAGAGGCAAAGAAACGAGAGGCCTACAAGCAGGCGCAAGCTAGACAAGAGAAAGCCGCCGAGGAAAACGCCGAGAAACAGAGAAAGATAACAGAAACCGGTAATACCGGTGCAGCTGATATCGGCGATGTCAGCAACGGAAACCGAGTTAGTGGTGGTACAGCCACTGGAAATGTCGCCGCCGGAGGTGAAGTCGTCCGTGCAAACAAAGAAGACACCTCCATGTCGCATTCCGATATCCCCGCATTGATGCGTCCACCCCCCATCAACTCACAGGTCATTAATATGCATGAGTCTGGCTTCAATAGCATATCCAACGCTCACATCAGTGTACCCCCTGGTACTATCCCCGTAATTCGTAACTCCGCTGTACCAACCGACGCCACCAGTATTTCCATCTATCAACCCAGCCCTAGCCAGCCTAGCCAACCCAGCATCGACCTATCTCCCGTATGGCATCTACCATCTGCTCAGCAGCAAGACCCTACTCCTAGCGATTTCGATAGTACCCAGAGGATCGCCACAAATAGCACCCCTGATGACTCTCTATCTCGTAATAACCATGCTATCATCAACCCCGACTCCTCACCCTTATTCCAATCGCCACCGAATCCTTTACACTATGCGGTCTTAAACGCCGAGCAATGGAACGTGGTATACTCCGCCTCCCGGGCCCGTAACCTACAACAAAAAATGGCCCGCGAAACAGAAGGCTGGACAGTAGAGCAGCTTCTAATGCTGAACGCAGAGTGTATGGAAAAAGTCTGGATTGGAAGAGGAATGTGGGATCGTGATGAATTGATGAAGTTGGTTGAGGATACGTTTATGGAAGTCTCAAAAGTGGTCCAAATGAGTAGAAACTTTGATTAGGAATCAGGTAATTTGAAGAATCAGGGTCATGTTGTGGAGGCTAGGGTTTTGTTGAATAGATTGGAGGATCTTGTGGATGGGTCGAGGAGGGAGGATATGAATTGGGTGGATATAGATGATGAGAGGGAGGAAAGAGAGGAAAGACGGCGAAATGAACTGCAGATCAGCGTATTAGAAGGACAAGTGTTGAATGGGGAGAGAAGTACGAAGAGGGTTAAGGTATCTCACGAATCACGGCATAGGTAATTTGTGAATTGGAGGCAAAGCAGAAAAGGGGGATGTGGGAACGTGGGAACGTGGGTGTGGATGTGGGTGGGTAGGAGCAGGAGGATACTTAATAAGGGTTCTTGTTCTTGTTGTTCTTGTTCTTGTTCTATAAACTATGGTTTTTTTTTATGTTTTTTCTTTAAAAAATTTATGTATTTCTGTTTACTCACTTACTTGCATTTCGGATTTGATCCTTTTTGTTTTTTTTTTTTTTTCGTATGTTATACCTATGTTAGGGTATTTCTTCCCTTTCCTTTCCTTTCCTTTCTTTTCTCACTTTTTTTTTTTTTTTTTTTTGCGTTTCTTGATTTTTAACTTTTAGCTTTGAATAGCTTTTCTTTCTTTCTTTCTTTCTTTCCCCCTTCCTTTTTCTTTTTTTTTCTTCTTTTTTTCTTTCTTTTTCAACTTGTTGTTGGGATATATATATATATATATATATTATGTTTCCCCCCTTTTTTTTCTTTTCGGGTTTTACTAAGTACGTAAATAAGTAAATTCGTTGGGATTCATTGGGATTCAATGGAATTCAATGATTAACGTATGTTGTGTTTGAACTTGGTTGATATTCGATATTCGATACTTCGTTGCTGTTATATGTAGGAAATATGAGAATGAGAATAAGAATGAGATTGGATTGGGATTGGGATAATATATGATATAACAACAGTTCGGTAGATGGAGATGGAATATGGCAGAACTTGAACAAAGTGGATTTAATCAAAAAGATATAATGGTAATCAAACAACAACAAACTAACCAATTATCAATAACCAAGAGGAAGCATACCCCCCCCCCCCCCCCCACCAAAAAAACAAGATTTGATTAGTAGTCCCGACTCCCAATATTCCGATTTTAGGTATAGATATAGATTTCGAGGCAGCAGATGATGGAATTGTGGTTTTGGGATAACGGGAATTATGGTATGGATTGTAATCAGACCGAGGTATTGTTTGCTTTAAGAGCGTTGAAATGTGATGTGATGTTTTGATGATGTGACTCCGAGGTGAGTGAGTGAGTGTGTGTGTGGGTGGGTAGTTATTGCCATTAGCATTAGCGTTAGAATTTTCTGGTAGCATGTATAGCATAGTATAGCATAAAGACATAGCAGCACAACAGAAAGCCGACATATCCCGAGTTGTCCTGATATACCCATGACATATCTAAGAATGTAACAACATATATTACCACATCACTCCCAGCCGAATGACTGAGTACATTGCCTCCACGTAGAAAAAAAAACTGGACAAAAAAACACCAGGGGGTCAGAAAACGAAAAAGAAACTCCTCGGCGGGGAATTGAACCCCGGTCTCCCGCGAACTATCAAGTAGTGACAGGCGGAAATACTAACCACTATACTACCGAGGATTATATCTTTGTTATAAACCAAACATTTACACTGCAATTATTTAAACCTCATTCTCAGGCCTCCAGCGCTGACGGAGGGAAGTACAGATAGAAGAAACTAATACTGACAGACCCACGATGTTACGGGTGAGGAATTTTAGAGACGATATCTATGATACAGGCTTCATTCTGACATACGACACTGCGAAAAATGATGGACTACGTAATATAGGAATCTGATTTTTGGTCGAAGTGTGAGATCTGGAAAGTTACTTCGAGCCCCGGGGTATCAAATACCGGGAGAGTTAATGTTTTTCCACAAGTCACGTCTAGCTAAGAATAGTGGCGTATGGTGCGTATTCAGGAACTATTAGATGTTATGATGATGGAGAAAGTATATATAGGTAATCAGAAGAAACGGAGTAATGTGGGTTAATGGATAGTATACTGGAGAGACTAAGGGGGTTCGATGAGTCTGTGCTGGATTATGGATGGAGTGCTGGTGCACTATGTCTTTCACATTTGATCCTTAAGACGGAGAATAAGGGTGGTGATTTCTAGAAGGGGTGATTGAGTTGTAGAGAGGATTCTTTTTATTCAGAGAATTTGTTTATTTTTGACATGCAGTGTTGTATGAGTGGGGGGAGTTGATGGTTTTACATAGGACGATTTTCTGGTATCTGGATGATAGTTTTTTTTATGCAAGCTGTCAATTTATGGTCTTAAATTTCAATACTATTTTCAGAATCTCGCCAAGTCCTTTAAACAATACGTATCATCATCCCACCCGCTTTCCGTAAAAACCAATGCACCAACTATCCCAGCGTTATTTACTAAACCCCTATATATATCAGTTCGTTCATTTGTCCAATTTCACACGTCACCTCAAACCGCTGCCGTGAAATCTCAGCCCTAATCTACTAATCACTCGCTCGGCTTATGATGTTCCATACGTATACACCTCCCTTGCTGCTAAATTTGGCCCGAAGCGGTATGTTGTATCACCATGTCTGACTACAGGCTCCCAGTCAGGATATTCTGGGATCCTCAGGATAGTAGTATCACGGTCCTCTATGTTCTCTTGCGGCCCTCCTACGGCCCTCTCACGGTTCCCTACGGCACAGAGTAGGGGCCCCTGTGTCAAGATCCCTGTCTCATGTTGTGGCATCACAAAGCTTGCCTTGACAGTCGCCAACCGTTTTATCGATTAGTCAAAAGGATGAAAGCTGAAGCCCAGCCTCAGAAAGTCAATTCTGCATAAGAGTTCCTGCCAAGAGTAGATTTTGATAAACACAATTAATTCTGCGGATCATAGTTCAGAAAATTTTTAGACAGAGATTCAAATTCAATTTGATTCAAGAAAACGGTAGACTAAAATATACATTCGAAACCCCAGTTCGAACAATGCAGTATTACAACCCATCAACGAAAAGTATGAACTTTCCAAATAATCAACAGTCACTTATGCCATCAAAGCTCCCAAGACCATGGCTGCAATTCCAGCAACTCCCCACCTGGCCTCCAATCCGTTGGCAGCATTAGGAGCGTTGCTTCCACTCGCCGTAGGAGCTCCTGAAGTTCCACTTGGTGTTCCTGATCCTGAGCTTCCTCCACTACCAGTTGACGGTGCTGCAGATCCTGCCTTTGCTGTCCCGATCATTCCTCCTTGTACTTGCATCGGGCTGACATTATTCGAAGCCGACTTTGCGGCGTCTTGATACATCTTCAAAGTCCTCTGGCCATTTGAGGGAGGGTTGATAACGGCGGTCATTCCATTTTGACAATGCTTTCCTTGGGAGCAGTAAAGCCAGATAGGATTTGTGTTGTTAATGCGCACAGTCCAAGTAGGAACATCGGTGGCACCCTTGGTAGTGGGATGGAAGCCAGAGAAGAGCTCCTTGGAGGCATCGTTCATAGGAGTGCAGGGTGAATCAAAGGTGGACTGTGCAACGGAATGATTGGAGGGCCAGAAACGGAATTCTAGCAAACTGCCTGGCTCGGCTTTGATCTCGGCAGGCTCGAAAACGAGGTTTCCGGCGGCGTTACCGACTTTGATAATGGTTGTTGCACCGGAGGCGGCGGTGGCTGGTGCGGAAGCAGTGGTAGAGGCGCTCTGCGCGGCTACCATAGTGGAGGCAGCGAGGAGAATGGCTGAGGTAAGAAGCATTTTGTTGTAGTAAGTGTTGGACTGATATTAAAGATGTGTTATAGATTGATGCTTGGACTGGCTTGCAGTTCGTAGTTGATGGTGTAAGAATGTAGAGAATTGGTTTGTTGTGCTGAAGGACAGATCCGGTGGAGGGGCTCAGAACTTTATATGTTCCTCTGGCACAAAATCGAGCTGGTAAGTGTGTAGAATTTCTTGAATAGTAACCAATTAAAAAACTCCCCTTTGTCTCAGTTGCACTGCAGTTCTGCGTCGTAATACAAAGCAGGACTGGTTTGTAACCTTCGCTGTTCTGGAAATCGTTGCCTGAAACTTTTCCCAGACGTGACAGAGCGAGCATGAGCAAGCAGTGAAAAGTGACAGAGCAAGCATGCGCAAGTAATGCAAACTGACGGTTGTTCCCGGGTAGAATGTGTATACCATACTACTGCCGTCAGGCGCTTATTTTCGCATGCGTGAAACGTGAGTTGTTCAGAGTCTATGTATGTTCTCGAACTGATCTTGATGCATGCTGGAGGTGAGTTGTTCAGAGTCTATGCATGTTCTCAAACTGATTGTGATGCACGCTAGAGAGCAGAATTGACGAGATGATTTGGGTGGGGGTTGTGTCGTCCAGCCGTCACATACAAGCTTTGCTTCGAAGAAGATCCACAAAGCTTGTGTTGCCGACATACGCAAGCAGTAAAGCACAGCCCCCATAGATCATCTGGTCTGTGGAACGATGTTGAGTAAGGCAAACGGGACATTCGCTTGTTCAGTAAAAAGTAGGTCGTCGTTGGTTGTCCAGGAGTTGGTGCACTGGCACATTCGCAAAACATTGGTATGAATTGTGCATATGTACTGGGATGTACCCGATTACCACGGCGTATCATGATCTAGCCCTTGACACAGAGCCTTGCCAAAGCACTGATGATATCCTGTTTCAAAACAGCCACAACACGCAACTTTGTTTGAAATTAACATTACTCGAATTTTGGCTGTAATTGATCCAGTCTGCAAGCGGAAAACAGTCTTTGAGAGTTGCATCAGGATCGTCGGTGTCAACGAACTAGAACTGTACCCCAGATCAGCGTTGAGCGAGTGCGGAAGGCCACCGGCAGATCAATGACATAACGCCAAAAAATTGATACACCGAAGTCTTAGAAAGACTGCAAAGATATTGTCGATAAAAAAAGTTTAAAATATCGGCGTCGGTCGGCTTAGCTTCGAGAATAGATGGGTTATGGTGCTGGCAGCCGTAGAAGCCCTATAAGCCCGAAATGTAGGGTTTCTAAGGGGTATGTCCCGAGGTTTGTATGGAACTAGCGAAGCACAATCGCCGAGGCTTGTCAAGTTGAAGCGATATTCACTAGAATCCGGATGCGTTCCAAGGGCCGTTTTTTACCCGCTGTCATCCGAATTCACAATAGAATACGCAGACGTTGGATACCATTTGGGCCTCTAATCAATTGTAGTAACGAGTCAATTTGTGACCATCGAAGTATGCATTCCGGATTCGGGTTCCATCATTATGGATGACCTAGAGCGTTATTGCTTTCAATCATGCGTATCGAAAGATACCACGGTGGCCGATCACCGATGAAACGGCTTTGCTGGCTTGACTTGCAGAATATAATGACATGGCTCCTCATGGGTAATGGCTGTAAATCCATTTGAAAGCCCGGATAAATATAGGTTGCCCTGTACCATGAAGCTCGTGAGAATCCCAGGAATCCCAGTAAGTTATATTCGTCGGGATATTTGGACCTCGTCAAATATTTCTAATAGGTGTTGATGCAAGGTCAAGAATAGTTCTGAGTTATCCGTTAGGAATGTTTGATGTCGCTTGATATGCAACGATCTCATGCGCTTCTTCTGTCGGCAGGAGTGCAGCAGTGCGTGAACATTGTGATTATTTCAAATTCAATTTTTGTTCTTCGCACTAGACTGTAATTTTGTAGGCGATAGTTGACTGGAAGGTACGAGAGTGGCTCTCGAAGGCGGAGAACTTCGGCGTATAACTTGATTAGCCAATGACGGTGCCCGCGCCGCCACGGGCAAAGGAGCATGAATAAAGTGACCGCGGAGAAGATTAGCCTTTTTTCACTGTCTAAATCTCTGAGACATGAACCGTATGAAAGGATTAAAAGAAGTGAATGATTGAAGCGTTCTGACGCCGGAATAGATGTCGAGGAGAGTGGAAGTGGAAGGACTCGGATGCTGTTTCGCGGGGAAACTTGAAGATAGTGCGCATGTTTACGTAATAACTCTCGCACCTGTTCCAAGTTCCAACGCGTCCCACTCAGGCCAGACACGCGCGCACCACTGTATCACGCGTTTCTAAACCATTTGAACGACGTCCGTTCTTCAGAAGGTCTAAGTAAACGCGGGGTATACAGTCATCAACCGGTCCCACTGTCCGTTTATCCAAATATCCTGGAGCACCGTACCCATGGTTAAGTACACAAAAATACCGTCAACTTGGGAAGGCTTCTCTGGCCCGGATTTATGAAGAGCGAGCTCGATACCTAATAACCGGGAGTTACTTGCGCCCTGCCGCTGAGTTGTGGAATTGTTACCGTGATTCCGGGAGAGCAGGTGGATGAGGATGGCGACTAATTGCGTACTCGTTCTTTGAGCCCTTCCTACGTTTGAGATTTTGTATTTAACTATATATGTACTTAAAGTCAGTATTCGAGATAATTTTAACCCAGATCTCCGATTGAATTCTATTTCTACGCTCTTACAAACGGGCAATTCGGAGCAGCTATTAAGGGCTGAAGCTTCGAAACTCCTTGACAAGCCTTTCAAGAGATACGGATTGATTTAAATTTACTCTAGGCCTTGAAACAGATTATTTGTCCACGATCCTGTC